ACGTGTGCTCTTCCGATCTCCCCAAAACCCCAAAACCCCAAAACCCCATGAGTCAGAAAATGGTTGAATAGAGAGTAATGAAAAATTAGATAAATACTTAAAAGGTGAATAATTACATCTAGTTAACGTATTAAGTGAACATGATAGAGCAAGCCAAAAAAGCTACGTATATAAACTCCACCCTGTCTCCTTAATACAAACTCTATTAGTCCATCATCATTCTCACTATGAGTCATCTTAGTTTGGTACAAACATCTCCTCAGCTTTATTCCCGTTCTCATCTACTGCTGGTTGACCTAGGGGTTTTGAGTGTCTGTCTCTTAATGATTATAATACATCCTTATTTGATGATGGATTGCTGCTTCCTTCATTTTATTATGCTGATGCAAGTGGGTTTCGAATTACAGTTTATCCATTTACTTGACCGTTATTTCCAACGTTACTAGAATCTAACTAGGGCATAGCACCCCTTCTATCACCGCCTGGAGCCTAACCAGTTGGCTTAGGTCTGCTGCTACCTTTATTTATAAGACCCTAAAAGAATCCAGCCATATCCTTCTTTGATTTTTCATCCATTGGTCTTCCTGCAGCTTATCCAGGACCACCTAGTTGATTTCCAGAAAGTTGCGATATTGCAGCATTGTGTCCACCTAGATTTCTTCTCATTCCGAATTATTTTTACAAAACTATCTGCCAATCTTCGCAAGTGACTTCAGGCTTATTTTATCCTTGTTAAGCTATAGATGGTTTTTTAATTACTTCTTCATAAACTTTCCCTTCTGAATAAGCTCCTTTGCAAAGTGCATCAATCAACATCAAGCTATCGAAACCAGTTGGAATGAAAATTGAATCTTTTTAGTGCATCTCAGCCTTATTGTGAAACTCTTAATCGTAGAGTCTGTGCAGAATGTAACGATAAAGCAGCTCTATATTAGTGAGTTAATTTACCTCAGTGAAAATTAACGAAGCAGCATAAGATAAGCAATATTATCTCAAATGCTTTTGAATAAATTCGAGATTTAATTCGAGTAACTGTGATTTGTCTCCACGTAGAAGCAAATCTATCTTTTGGCATACAACGATAATTGGTATACCTAGATTAACTTTCAGAACTCCTTCAGGAAGTGGTAGTCTTGATTTTAAATCTTTATAGTCATCAAAATCATCGTCTAATTTTTCATCTTCATCTAAGAGATTTGTGTCCATTTTTACTAGCTTGTTTTTGTTAATTGCATCATCGTTATCATTCGAATCATCCTTGCGTTCAAAGTTCTTCACAAATCTGGTTAGCTTTTCCTTCATCTTATCCTGCTCACTACTCTTAAGCATCTTCATGATATCTAGTATTGTTTCACCTAAGACTCCCATCCAACGCTATAAAGCATTCATCATTTCCCATGGCTGATCGAAATCTAAAACTATCAAAGCACAAGTTTGCTGCAAATCTTCTGGTTTCAATACTAGCTTAATCAGATCTGCCTTTTCTTATTCCTATAGAATCCAACAATTCATGCGGGGTAAGTTATCTTCTGAAGACACCATAGAGTTTAGCGCATCTTTCTCGCTTAAATCTTTTACATAAAGGAATGAAGAGTCAAGTCCAGCAAATTAAGAGCCCATTTTATCAACATCAATAAATTTATTCGTTGCTCTAACATAGTGTTTGTTGATACAAGATACCAATGATTTTTTTCCTGCGCCGCGATCTCCCAATACCAATAAATGTGATTCTTTTATATCATCTCTTTAAGCGACATCATTCAAGATTGACTTCCATAAATTCGATGATTCTCCACCTAATAGACTTCTCTAGATAATGGAATTAATAACTGATTAGTTATTGGTTTGCTATCTATTAACACCTAGTCTAGGCTCAAGATTAGTTCCTCGTCTGCCATCTTAATTATAGCCTCCCTAACCTCCATTATCATTGTAAGAGTCTTATGTTGTTTACTTGTTCATATTTAAAAATCTATTAATTTGATAATATTTATAGTACAAGGAAATTAATCTTTTAATTACTCACAGAAATATATTATATTCATCGTATGGGGTTTTGGGGTTTTGGGGTTTTGGGGTTTTGGGGTTTTGGGG